AGCAGGAATTACAAGTATGCCAGGTTTCCAAACCCTTGGATCATCATGTGCGTAGAAATAATATTTGGGTCATATTGGGTAGTTCTAGAATAGATTAAAGGCAAATAAGACCATTGGGGGTTGAACAGGTGTGAGCAAATGGAAGGGAGGCTGAATTTATGAAGTTGTCCAAAATTGGCTCAGATGCACTAAACATGTTTTTCCAGCAGAGCTGCATCAATTTCTAATAGAACCCCAACCAAGAAGCCCAAACTGAAGTCTGTATATAGACTATACTGTGGTGCCAATGAGTCAGCAAGGAGAACCCTCGTCTGGGCAAAAATGACATCCCTGTTGGCAATCCAGATAATTCTGGATACATCTCCAGGATCACACAGGCTTTCAAGACTTTACTCCATGTTAGCAGTTCCTGCAAGGTTTCTCCTGCTAAGAGCTAGTCCCAGGACTTACGGGTGCCTGTCGCAGGCCTGGGGAAATGCGTTGCTTGGAACACAGATGCCCCTACTCTCTGACCCTGCTAAGAATCTAGGTTTCCATTTCTTTGAAGATCAGAAGAGAGATTAGGGCTTTTAACATGCCTCTTCTGCACCCCATCCCATTCTTGCCTGGAAACTGTGTCAAGTTGAATACATATTTTTTTCAAGTGAGTTTAATGCCATGAAAGGGGAAATCTGCAGCGAGAAGAAAGGATGTGAACACCCTAAGATGGACGATGAAAAGTCCAAGAAACAGAGTCACCGTCTTCAAATCCAGTTTCTGAAGTTCTGTGGGGCTTAAATCTCTGTGCTGAACCAGGTAACCAAAGAGGAGGGAGGGAGGGGCTCTGAAAGGGAGATTCCACAGAGGCCACTTGTTTGGGAAAGTCACACGGCTTTGGCTGTCTTTAAGGTGAGACCCGTCTTTTCCCTGGGATGCAAAGCCGGGGACACACTAAAACATGGGAATTCTCTGCACTGCTCAGGGGAGAATGTTGAACGCTACTATAAATTTTAAAAATTATGTATTCACGAAGAGTGAATACCTAAAGGGACATGTCGACTATTTAGAAAGCAGACGGAGCTGGGAATGGATTGATGGGTTTGAGTATTTGTGTACGTGCATGGACTTGCATCGTTTCTGCATCGGGTTGTTCTACATAAGATACACGTTCTTGCCTGTGGGTCAGTAAAATGATGGAAAAAGAGGGGGATGCGGGATGGGGGATAAGAGTCTAGTAAGTAACTGCAGTAATAATCACACACCTTTTAAACTTGTTACTACATGTTTGCATCACTTCCATTTTACATCAGGAAGAGAAATTCCTCTCTCTTCCAAAAAGTTCTTAATTTCTACCTCTACTTACAATAAGTTACACGTTTATTTATTTAAATAATTGTAAACATTTAAAAATAATAATCACACACCTTTTAAACTTGTTACTACATGTTTGCATCACTTCCATTTTACATCAGGAAGAGAAATTCCTCTCTCTTCCAAAAAGTTCTTAATTTCTACCTCTACTTACAATAAGTTACACGTTTATTTATTTAAATAATTGTAAAACATTTAAAAATTTTTCCCTTTTTTTGTTTTTTTTTTTTGTTTGTTTTTTAAAGAGATTAAACTATAAGCAAACACACATACAACAACATTTCATCATTCAGTTCAGGTTTCATTTTAAGAAAGTCTTCCATGCTGGTACCCTGTTTTGTTCAATTTTTTTTTCTGCATAAACTAAATTGGTATCTGAAGGGCTTCATAGAAAATAGAAACTTTCAACTTCTTTTTTCCTACAAAGAAAAACAAATAGTATCCAAAATATTAAGCATGAATCGTTTGCCAATTTTTTTTCTTAAATATTTTACAAACATAGGAAGGTGGTTCTCATAATGTTCATAACAAAGAACTGCATTTCTGCTCTTAGCACTGACTACGTCAATGACATCTTTTGTCCTCGTTCCCAAGAGGGTCAGTTTGTGTAGTTACCATCAGAGCTACACAAGAAACGTGAGACCAGGTAAGAGGCAGCTCCTTGCAAACCCAGATCTGTCCATCATGTTCACGTGGGGCACAACTTTCCCCAGAGAGCTCCTAGTGCTTTCTTCATTACTGGTCCATCAGAGTGAGCAGTTTTGTGCTATAAGAAAGCAGTTCTTCCTCTTCTTTACATCGGGGGCACGACAAGTCCGGTCATGGCTGCAAGGGAAGAGTGGCACAGGCATGAGCCTTAGAGATTCTTTACATTAAGGTCTAGAAACCAGAGAGAGGGGCGGGGCCTGGGATGGACAGTCTGGTACCGTCCAGGGCGATGGTGCCCTCAGCTGATGTGGGAACCCATTTTCTCCAGGTCTGGTCTAGCAGACAGCCAATGAGAGGCACCAAAGCCTTACTGAGTCACTGAAACATAAACAGAGCTTGTTGAAGTTTTGCTTGAGAGGCCAAAAATTATGTTTTGCTTTGCGTTAATGGGTTGTATACACGACGTAAGAGACATAAACGTGTAAACTAAATTGTAATATATGTCTAATATATTTTTCACTATTAGACTAAAATAATTTCTAGATTATATGGTCGGAAGAGGAAAATAAATTCCAGGTGCCAAGCCTATTGAGTTACTTACTAGGCATCGTTTATAACAAATCGGACTTTCTATCCATCCTAGGTTTCTATCCATCCTAGCTGAAATTGGATGAGTTGTTGTTTTTTTCCTAACTAGCTCATCTTCCTTTGGGGCTCACTGCTGTATGTGATGTCCATCCACTAAGGGATGCTGATCCACTGGAACAAAAGACTTATTTAGTTCCTAATTTGCGAGTCACCCCAATCTCTACTCTTCACCCCCAATCCAAGCGCAGTGTCCAGCGCCCCTCTGTCAAGAGAATACTTCAAACGCCTGTCTGGGTGGCATCAGGTCCAAGGTTTCCCCTCGATATGAGAAATAAAGCAGCATCAGCACAATGTGGAAAAATCACACAGCAAAACGCAACCCTCTGGCCTTGGCTTTCGGGTGATGAACCCATCGAATTTTCACATTCTTGGAAACTGGCAGAATAGTTTCCTCGTGTCCAAACTTCACACTGCATCTAGAATTTGATCCTTTGAGTTTTATTGTCTAAGCCTCATCTAAAGGGCTTATCAAACATCATAGGAGCATTTTGCTGAACGGTGTTCACTAACCTGACAAGCAAATGGACAAAATTCTTCCTGCTGCTTCCAACACGTCTCTCTCTCTCTCTCCCTCCCTCCTTCCCTCCTCTCTCCCCCACCCCTCCCTTCCCCTACCCCTCTCCTCTTCCCTTTTCTCTCCTTGCCAGCCGGTCTTCTCAGGCAAAATTTGTCAGCCATCTATTTCCCTGACCATACAGCCTTTATTGAATGTTTGTGAGATCCAGATTAAGGTCTTACACAGCGGCGAGCAAACCCTTAATTATTTTTGCCTGTATTACTATATATTGAATCGATGTAACTTTTCAATAAAGGCAGTTCAATTCTGGACACTCCCCAATGATTTGGAGATAGAGCAACCCTGGTAATTATCCCAGAGTGTAGGAGGTATTTTATTTTATTCTTTTTTTTTTTTTTTTTCCCTGGAGGGAGCTGGAAAACGAATCTGGCACATAGTGCATACTATTATCTCGACGATCTATACTCATCAACTGTGAATGCCTGATAAATGAGGTAGAAGGTGGGGAAAATGAACACTGCATGTATAGCTCCCCAGCAGTAGGTTTTGGGCTCACGTTTTCAACTTTAACTTGTCTATTACACTTCAGGGTTTTTTTTTTTTTTTTTTTTTTTTTTTTTTTTTCCTGGAGGGAGCTGGAAAACGAATCTGGCACATAGTGCATACTATTATCTCGACGATCTATACTCATCAACTGTGAATGCCTGATAAATGAGGTAGAAGGTGGGGAAAATGAACACTGCATGTATAGCTCCCCAGCAGTAGGTTTTGGGCTCACGTTTTCAACTTTAACTTGTCTATTACACTTCAGACTCATCAGCCCCTTCATTTTCCTGCGTCCTCAGAGAGTTACCTAAGGAGCTTATTAAAAGGGCAGCGCCTCTCCAAGAACAGGATCCACTGCATGACTGAAGAACAGCAGATTTCATGGATTTCCCTTCTCCCTGGTCGCACACCAGGCACTGCGTGGGCTGCACTCTGCTCCGTGGTGACCTTGACTTTTTGCTTGTAGAAACCGTAGCCAACAGACAGAAAGCAGCAGTTATTTGGGAGGATCCTTAACTGCACTTCGTCCAATTTCTTTTTACCTTTGACAGTTTCATGGGAATGTCATAATCCCTCTTTGGTCCAGGTGGAAAGTTGGTGCGGGCGAACGGTGAAGAGAAGACCTATACTGCTTCTGTCCCCGGAGAGACAGCGGGCTGTCGGGGCGCAGCCTCTGGGGTCAAAATGTCTGAGTTCAAGTCATCAGTCACTGGCTGTGTGGCCCTGGGCAAGCTCATTAACTAAAAATGGTGATACCAGTATGACCTTCGCCTTTGGGTCACACGAGAGCCTGGAACAAGATAATTCCTATAAGGCACTTGGTTCAGCATCTTGCACGTGGGATCAAGGCACAGTCAGCGGGTCTCGGAGAGTGTTGGCTGCACAGTCCCTCTGTGGGTGACTAATACCACCTCAGCTTAGAGCAAGCGGAAAGAAACTCCCTCTCAGCCTGTGATCACCCTCCACCTCAGGCCACATTCACACCCTCCCGCTGTCCCTAAAGAGATGGAGCGTCCTGCCACTCAGCCCCCGTCACCCCAGGATCCCTTCATTCAGTGATTACAGGCGGCGTATTCGAGGTCGGCGTGGCTCTCTCCTTCTCTGCACCAACGGGACACCTGGTGATGCTGGACCTTGAACTGCTCAGTCACCGGTCCAAAATGAGGAAGAACCAGAGTGAAGGCTTCTGGAAGGCATCCTCTGTCAGCCCCAGCCTCTCTCTGCTGTATGAAATGTCCTTCACCTTTTTCCTACTTCTTTGCACACGTTGCTTCTCAACCACCTTGGGAGAGAGCGATCAGTTCTCCTGTTTAACAGGCTAGGAGACTGAGGCTCTCCGATGACAGTGACTGGTAGGGATGCACTGGTACAGCCTGCAGTGTCTGCTGAAGTCACGGTCCGTGTTCTTCCCACAGTTGGTAGCCTTTGAGGTTCTCCTCGGAATCCTCTCCTATTTCTCCACACGCTACTTTGTATTTTCGTAGTTCTTTGTTTTTCAGTCTCCAGCTCCTAAGTTAAGTGTTGCTGTCTGCTTCCCCTTCGCCGTTTCCTCCTCCATCCCGGCCCCCATCTTTCTCCTCAAGGTTAAAATCACCAGGGCAATTCGGAGGGAGCTGCAGGACCTCAGAGAGGCTCAGGACTTCTCAGTGATTCTATAGAAATGAACTAGAGCCCAGGACCTGTGCCTGTGTGTAACCAACACAACTGTCACTCCTGCACACACAGTTAAGAATGTGCTGCTCAGACACTCTGTCACTGGTAGTGACAGAAGCTCGCATGGCTGAGGACCCTAGAGGGGGTCTTCTGGCTATTTCAGCTGCTGCTGCCTCCACCAGGAAACCTTGCTGTGACCACACAGACCGTTCCAGCTCTTTGGGACAGCTGCACCCTGACCAGGTGACGCCACAGGGGCCCTTGGGCATGCAGCCACTAGCAGGGTGGGGGTTCCAGGCCATGGCTGCCAGTGAAAGCTTTGTCCTGGCCTCCCTGCGGGCTGCAAGCTGGACAGGCCCCACAGATGGGTCTCCCTGGACAGCACAGACCCAGAAGGGTCTGAGTCAACCAGCTCTGCTCCCCTGACTCAGTCCCTGCGTGAGAGAGGGGCTGGGGGAGGGGTGGCAAGTGGCAGTCAAGTTGTACTTTTCTTCCTCCAAGCGAGGCTGAAAATACTTGCAGGAGTTGCCTGGAATGAAGGGAGGGCTGTACCCCTCCTGCTGTCCTCCTGCACCTGCGCTTGCCCTGTGCCCTTAGTCTTTGTTGGGCCTCTCACTCTGCATTTCCCCAATGAAACCTGTGTGGCCCCCGCCAGGAGTTTTGTGTGTTTTTTAAAATTTTTTCTTGGAGTCTAGTTGATTTACAAGGCTGTGTTAGTGTCTGCTGTACAGCAGAGTGAATCAGTTATACGTACACATATATCCACTCTCTTTTAGATTCTTTTCCCATATAGGCCATTGCAGAGTATTGAGTAGAGTTCCCTGTGCTATACAGCAGGTCCTTAGTAGTTATCTATTTTATATATAGCAGTGTGTATATGTCAATCCCAATCCCCCAATTTATCCCTCCTCCCCTTACCCCCTGGTAACCATAAGTTTGTTTTCTACATCTGTGACCCTATTTCTGTTTTGTAGATAGGCACGAGTTCCTTTGTACCCTTTTTTTAGATTCCACATATAAGCCATATCATACAATATGTGCCTTTCTCTTTCTGACTTACTTCACTCAGTGTGACAATCTCTAGGTCCATCCATGTTGCTGCAACCCTGCCAGGTTTAAGGGACATGACCAAAACCATAGTACTTGGAAAGGGGAGTCATACTGCTGAAGGGGAGATAGGGAAGGGGAATATGCAGCAAAAATTCAGCAATTGTTTTCCTATCCCAGTCTGGAGGTGAAGCCATCGTGGGAAAAGTTCTGAGCATGTCCCCTAATGACAGGCTAGAAACCACTGGCCTTTGTTGGGAGGTGCGGCAGGTGGAGACGCTTAGCTACAGGCTGAGCCTGTTTCTCTCTGGATCTGACATCTGGATAAAAAGCAAATACATATATATATATTTTTTTTTTTTTTTCATTCAAATATACAGATGTTTCCAACTATTCCCATGCATGTAGACCCAGCTGCTTTGTCTAGTTAGAAGCAAAAGAATTTTTTAGGGGCTCTTCTGAGGGCTGGGCTTTCAACTCTTATTTCACAGTTTGTCTGTCAAGTCACTTGACTTCAAGGAGGTACCGTCGCTCTAATGGTAGAATGTGTCAGGAAGCTGACGTACCTCCCAGAGCTGTGCTTGGCCACAACGGGTGAGTGCACCCTCACGGGTGTCCCCGAAGGCTCGGGAACCCCTGCGCAATCATAAAGCCACTAGGCAGATGCTATTCCAGGGACAGCACAGCCCATTTGAGGCTCTGCTGACCTCAGAGGCTTTGATCCACGAGGGGTTAACCAAACCAAACCTCTGCCCTCTTTGGTTTTATCCAACACTGCTTGCCGTGAATGTTTTCATGTCAAGACGCAGGGAGCTGCCTAAAAATAATGTGGGTCGTTAAGCTCCCTGGCGTTCAGCAGTTTCCAATTTGCTCTTTTGCCATCAGCTGCCTCCCATTCACAATGAGATGATTAGATTCTCATGTACTCATCACATTCGTGCTATGTCATGTCATATTATATTTTAGGACATTGCTCAAAAATGGGTTTGACGGGGGATATTAATGTTTGTTCTTAGACCCAGTATGTCTTTTTTTCTTTCTTCCCTACCCCACCCCTGATCAGGCACCTGCTATCAATTTGACCAGCATGTAACCAGAATTCTCAGAACTTGCTCGTGGCTCCTGACGGATCTTGTTCGTTCGTGCCATGGGACTGGGAATGCACTGCAGATGGCAAGCTGATTCGGTAAGCAGTAGTCACCATGTGGCATCTGCTGTGGTGGCCAGGCACCTTCTGGGAAATAGTGACATGGCCTTGTGAAAAGCAGAGGTCTGGGGAGTCCGATGCTCCTAGAGGGTGTATGTGACCCCACCATAGTTAATTTGTGTCCTTGCAGAGTTGTCCGACTTCTCTGTTATTCCCCCATCTTGCTCTTGGACAGAGAACTAGCCCAGTTGTACAAGTCATTCGGGTCTCATGATGAAAACACCAAAGCATCTCCTTGTAGGTAAATGGCTAGAGATACAGAAGGATGCTGAGCTGTTTGCTCTTACTTTGCTGACCCTGTGGCACATGTATCATGCCGATACCCAAGGTGCTACTTTGCTTACCTCTGAATCCATTTCCATTGCCACTGGAGCAAGCAGGTGAAGGGGAGCCTTGGGGCCTGATGACGGGGGCGAAGGCACTCTTCTGTTTGACAGCAGGAAAAACTGAAGAGGAAAATGGGAGGATGGAGGACGTGCTGGAAGATCCAACAGTGGGACTTGATGACATGACTGGAAAGCAAATGCACAATCCTTTTTTAGAAAGAGAAAGATCTAGGAGTTAAGTTCTTTCTTCAGTACATACAACCTCCACACATTGATTGAGAAATTACGAGTTTATTCCAGGCATTGTTCCTGATTCCAGGGATTCAAAAAGTAGTTGAATGTGACAAGGTCCCTGCCCTGTCCCGTGGGAGGAATAAACAAATAAAACAACTAATAGGGTCGTTGTCCTGTTGGAGGAGTGTCCACGACGCTGAGATACAGCGGGCAGAGTGCTTTTCTGCCTGGAAGAGTCAGGAAAGCGTCAGCAGGAGATGAAATTGTGATAGGTCTCAATCCACAAGTAGACGCTCGACAAGAGAAGGCTAAGACCAACAACTGAAAAACTATCCAGTCTACTAAAAAACAGAAACCTCTTTTTTTTACCCTAAAAAGTAGTCCTGTCTGGGAGCCATGTGCTTCCCTGGCAATTCTCAGGGCACCAGAGGTTTGATCTGTAGGGTTGGCATCTTCCCTGAATGCACCATCTCTATGGGCCACTTCCTCATTAAATGTAAAAGTTTATTAACATTTAAGAGATTACCTCCTTCTTCCTCTACTTTCAGAGCCCCTGGGAAATAAAGCTGCAAGTCAGCCTCCTCTGATGTGATGTGTAGAAAAAAGATACCAATATTAACATTAAAGCGACTTAAAGGAAGCCAAAGACTAAGTGTTGTGGATTTCCAGGAAAAATAAAGGCAATTTACACAACGAGGGGCCCCATGTCTTAATGTCCGACACTCCACCAAGTCACATCATTACAAGAAGATAGTCTTCTCCTAGGTTCTACTTGCTCGAGACAGGGGTAAACTTGAGTTCACAAGGGTAGAATTGTTCGAGATAGCATTTTATAGTATGAGGTCAAGTTTCAGGGGCTCATTTTAGCATAATGTCCAGAATTCTGAACTCTCCAAGTCGCATGACTCGGTAAAAGAATTACTGGAATGTAATGGCAAAGGCCGTGACAAAGGCTAAGAGTGCTGACCTCTGCGTCATATCATCAGTGGTCCAGATACTCCACAAAGTGAATCTGAAAGTGAGAACATGAGTGCGACTTACGGCTCAAAGACCAAGTACGAGGTGTATTGGAAGACTCCATCCCCATTTCCCCCCCTCTCCATACAAAGATAGACTTTGGGCTGTGTTCACAAACTGCCTATATAAAGCAATCATACAGCGTACCTCCAATATGATGTCTTTTACAGCCGTACGACAAACCAAAGACTTCAAAAAAAAAAAAAAAAAAAAAAAGAGCTTTATCTAAAAACTTCTTATCCTGAAGTGGTCCTGATTTAAAGGGCAGTGCAGAAGGAAGCATCCGAATACATCTCGGTCTTTCCACAAGTAATATGGATCAAAAGAAAATAATGGTGGTACCGATATATATAGAATGAATAAACAAGGTCCTACTGTGTAGCACAGGGAACTACATTCAATATCCTGTGATAAACCATAATGGAAAAGAATATGAAAAAGAATGTATATGTATGTATAACGGAGTCACTTTGCTATACAGCAGTAATTAACACAACACTGTAATTCAACTATGCGTCAATAAAAAAATTAAAAAGAAAATATTGGAAAGGAGGAAAAAATCCTTAAAGAATCTCATGTAATACTTGAAGATGCAAATGAAGAAGAAATCTGGCTAATTCACTATTGTTATGGGAGAGGATACAGGTTTAAGCACTGAGAATGGATCTTATTCGTAGTTCTAAGTCAGTCTCCTCTTCTAGCCTTGGTTTTAGCGTCGGTGAAACGTGTGTGTGTGTGTGTGTGAGCAGGGTGGGTGGGTGAGTCCTCTCCTCTTTCTGTAAGGCACAGAATCAGAGGCCAAAGGAACGCTGAGAATCAGGAGCCCCTGATTCTGACCACCATCGAATCTCTGCCATACTATGTGATCCATGCGAGCACCAAAATGGCACCTTGGTTTCTGAGTCTGCAATAAGCATAATCTCCCCTCATACACCGTGATAGAGGAGGGTTTTTATAATGTGAATTAGACACACACACACACACACACACACACACACACACACACACACAATTCCATGTATGTTCAGCATATGACTCACTTTTACAAATACTGTAAAAGTTCTTTTACAGTTACTGTTCTTTTACTGTTACTGTTCTTTTCTAGTAACAGATCTAAAAGCATGCTCATTAGCATGGCCACCTCTCAGTGGGAAAGGAGTCACTTCAGGCTTCACCAAGTGGTGTAAAAGAATTGTTACAGAGTTGAATAGGCACAGAGCTGTAACATGCCCATTTAAAATATTTTTAACAGAATTTTTGTAAAATGTCAAATTACATCCAAATTTAAAATTTAATGAGGCTATAATAAAAAGCCTAAAGGAAATTTTAATCTGTGTGTGTCAAACAAACATAACTTCTATATTTATCTATTTAAAACAACAACAACACTGTTAGAGCCAGAAAGTTTTGTTAAAAAAAATTTTTTTAAGGAGGCGTTTGTCTTAACAGATATTAAAACTTAGGATAAGCCTACACAAATGAAATCAGTGTTATACTACCATAGAAATAGGCAGACAAATCCTTGGAGAAAATAGAGTCCAGAAACAGACCTGAGTATACATGAGAATTAGAACTTAATAAAGGTGACATTTCAAATTAGTGGGGAAATAAACACATGGGAACAATACGCTAGCCATTTGGAGACAAAATTTAGAGTGCTTCCTCGTGTTAAACACGAAAGTAAATCTAAGTGGATTAAACAGTTATTTGTAAAAGCAAAATTATAAAGGAGCTAGTAGAAAAATTAGGAAGTTATGTGATTTACCTAATCCTTTCAACCCCCAAACCTAAACAGAACATCATAAGACATGACAAAAATATTTCTGTAACACATACAGAAAAGGCAAATGACAACTTAGGAAAAATATCTGTCATAATTATTTAGATATATTCAGACTCTCGGTAGCTAGTAAGCTTTTTGTAAATTAATCAGAGAACATCCCACTAGAAAAATGGGCAAGGGAAGTGAAAAGGAATGTCACAGAAGGAAAAATGAAAATGACCAAAAGGCTATTTATAGACCTATAAATGGTCAAACCGATTAGTAATCATATGTAAATTAAAACAGTAATGAGATGTTGTTTTCCACTTGCCAAATTGATAAAGATTAAGAAAAAATTAAGAGGGCGGGGAAACAGATACTATTCCTTTTCTAAGGGGAGTAGTAACCTCTCTGGAGGGACTTCAATAATATGTATCAAAGTATTTGAAAATGTGCATGTTTTTAACCCAGTAATTTAATTTCTAGAAATTAATCCCAAGGAGATAATCATAAATGTGCGACAACAACAACAAAAAAAGCCAAGGGCGTTTTTATAGTCTTGAAAAACTGGGAAATAAGTGACCAGCAATAGGGTAAACTATATTAGGTCCATAAAATGGACCACTATGCAAACATTAAGACTAATATTGGAAAAGAATATTTCATGGCACGGAAAGATACGCCTCCTCAGATGACCAAAGCAGATTACACAATAACATAGACAATGAGCCCACTTTTATTTTTTAAAAAATACACAAATCAAAAGTCTAGAAGGATGTGGTACACATCCAAATTTTTAATGACGATATCTGGCTGACAGAATTGTGAAGATTCTTAAGTTACCTTCTCTTACTCGTCTGTATTTTCAAAATTTCCTACAATGAACATGTATTACTTTTGATGTAGCAGAAAGCAGCAAAAGCTGCTAAAAGAAACAAGCGGAAGATCTCTATTTCTTTGGGGAAAATATAATAGAATCCTGAGCAATAGGCATAGTAGCTTTCCTGGATGTTAATGTGCCTCTTTGATCTAAGGCTTAACTGCCTGTAAACAAGGTTGTCTGTTAACTGTTCTTTCACAAATTCCTGGGAGAAGCTTGTTGATCGTAGTTAACTTTGCAATGCAAACGCCACTCCTAATATCTCTTCTCCATTCTTAGGACACAGGTCTGCACTGATGGATTTTATGGAGCCTAGCTTCATATCTGTGACTGAGAATTTTGCCATTTTTCTTCCGCTCTCTTTTTCATTGATCTTATGGCTGAAACCCATTAGCTGTGCATCAGAGCAGACGCTGTCATTTTCAAAATGTATCTATCCATAACTGCAAGGCTATACTTTAAAAGTTAACCATGGTTATCTCTGCACAGAAATAAAGTGTGTCATTTTTCTTTTCTTTTTTACATAGGCGTGCTTTTCAATGCGTCTACAGTGAGAATGTTACAGTTGTCATAGGATATTTTTTTTCCTTTCTGAAGAAAAAGACAATAAGAAATACACCAAAATATTAACAAGGTGTTTTTTTACGATGGGAGTATACTTTCTTTTACAAACTATTTCCACATGTTCTAAATGTTCTACCATAATCATTTAACACTCTACAACAGAAAATGTCTTGATATTTATTTTTGAAAACATGAAAATATTGAGGCCTGGGACAGACTCTAAGACTATATAACTGAAGTAGGAATCCCTGAGGCCAGGGGTGAAGGATTCTGTCTGTATGGACCCTGTTCCAAACTTTGCATGTGCTTGGTGGCTGTTCTACTTTGGAAGAAGTGGTCCCTTGGGTGTTGCAGGCTTGTTGAGTAGAACATCTCTGGGGACACCAGAGTGTACTGTTTTAGGAAAGTTGATCACACATACTTGAAATTGAAAATTTCTCTGGACACCTCTCTCTGTGGATAGAGGCCAAAGTAAAGGCAAGCACTTCTAGCCCAGAAATCTCTGTGAACATGGGGAGTTAAGGAAAAACCACTTTTCTTCTTCTAAGGATTGATTGGCTTGCACCGTCCCAGCTGGAACTCACCAGGCACACATCCTCCTCTGCATCGAGCCATTGCATTTGTTGGCGCTAAGGGGTCTGTCAGCGTTTCATTATAACCTCCTATTGTCAGGGGTTTAGAATTCAGCCATAAAAACTTGCACTGAGCTGGAACTTGGCACATACTGCTACCGCCAGGAAGTGAAGTTTGTATGTGAAATTGAAAAAACATCTGTTTGGCCATTTTTGAAGTGGTGTGAGAGCAGAAACAGTAAAGATGCAGGTTTTTGATACTCTGCGTTGGCCGTCATGCAAGTCAACTTGACTGAGAGGTTTGACTTTCTTTCTTTTTAACGTCTCTGGCAAGTGATTGCTCCGTGGCATGGCCCAGCCACATCAGACTAGTTTAAAAAATAAAATGAAAAATCAGAGAAGGGCGTTTTCAGACACAAGCAACTGAACTGACGAAATGGTATCCCCCTGAGCTTTTTAATTTTTTTTTATTTAAAACAATTTCCCAGAGAATTTGAGACTTAGCTGGGTAGAAATACAGGTCACGTGCTATTGTAATGAACTCCATAGGGTATTCAGTATTTTTGCAGTAGGGGATTTTATTGTAATGAATGCACTGTTTGGAATTCCATTCCCAGTCTGCAATTCCTTCAGACCGTTCCTCAGAAAAGGAAGGTGCAAGGAGTCTCACAGACCCAGCAGGAAACAAGAGGACATTCTCTGCTGTGTTTCCCACTCCCTCTGGGCAGGGCACCTTCCTCCTCCTATTTTGTGTATGCTCTCTTGTTTTAGTGGGTGACTTGAAGACAGGGTGTTACTATTTTTCTTGTGGCAGTGGGACTGACTGATCAAGAAAGGATAGTGTTAGGAAGTTGTCACTTGCCGGAGTGGGAAGGGTCCCTTTCTGCCAAATGAATTATCTAGTAAGAAACATCAAGCCATCCACACCAGATGGGCAATTTCATTCATCCATTCACTCTCTCTCTCTGTCTCTCTCTTTCTCTCTGTCTCTCCACCCACACCCCACCCACTCCTTCCTGTCTTTTTTTTCTCTCTCCCTCACCCATCACCACACTAAACACTATATTTATTGTTATATTAACCATTTTTGATCTACAAAAATGAGAATTTCACATGGTTCAACCATGTATGTATGATTGAACATATGAAATTACACATTTTGGAAATAAAGAAGAGGTGGTTTCATACGGCTCAGCCTAATAATGTGTTATAAAGACATGAAATATTTTTAATATTACTGAATAATTTAAAAACATGATATCCTGAATCTGATGACCTATGATCTAGCCACATTTTTACTGTTTATTGGCAATGAACCCTTGAGTAAGTCATTTAATAACCCTTCATATCTTAGAAGGGAAAATGATGATGATACTAGTGTAATAAATTATATTAATAAATATATAAACATGTAAATTATATACATAATAAATTATTATGATTATTATATCCATATTATATGGTTGTGAGGATCTGATTGGACTCTATTGTGTGAACATGCTTTTTAAGCTGTAAGGTAGAATGTGACTGGAAATTACTCTTACTGTTGTGACCGTTATCATGTGACGTTATTTACACAATGGCTCTCTTGCCCTTGTCTCACTTGCAGGGGCTATTGAAGATGTGGTCCCTTCTGCACATAGGGTACCCTCTCCACAAGGATGCATGGGAAAAATCTCTCCAAGGTCTCAGCCACAGCAAAATCAGGTTTCTCTTGAGCGGCTGCTACTACAACAACTATTGCTACTAATAATAATGTGTGGACATAAAATTTTATAACAAATAGTGTTTGTCTGTCTCTTTGCTTTACCATGTTGTAAGCCTCCGAACCAAATTAATGACTCCCTTGAATAGACCAAACGGCATCCATACTAACCCTTGGATTCATCTAATTTTCTGATACACATTATTTTCTTTTATCTGTTTGTTTCTTATAGTTTCTATTTTACACTTTCATACTGCCCATCTGACTATTAATATTGCCCCAGAACGTTTTTGGAACAAGAGAAGGTTAAAAACAAGTAAGTAAATAAATAAATAAGTAAAGCAAGCAACAGTTTGGTTTCCTCGGTCCCTCTGATCTCATTCATCTAATTGGCCATCTGACAGGACACCATGAAGAACTCATGTCTTTCTTTGCAGCAGCGAGATTTTAGTTGTCCTGGGAGAACCAGCCTCTGCTGCTTGGCTACTGTGTCTTCACCGCACTTAGTAGAGTGTTGAGTGTAATGAATTGAACAGATAACCCAGAAGTAACTCCTGGATGTGTGTCCCCAGGGAACCACAGGCCCAAAGGCTGAGAGCGGTGGCCTCCAGACCCTTGGCACCACTTCCCGAGCTGCGGTAGAAATGGCCTTGGCTCGCCCTTGTTCCTGGCACGAGGGAACCGCTC